CTCTCTCTCTCTCTCTCTCTCTCTCTCTACTTTTCTAATGTTAATATATTTTTAAGCGTGATCGTGTATACTGTATACTGTATGCAAATCTGTTTTCCATAGGATTAATCTGATGCCTCGAAAACGTCCGCCATTCGTGGCTATCCCCGAAAAGAACAATTAATCGTCGACTCGACCAATCAGCCGTCCCGCGGTCAATGCCTTCGTTAATTAAGAAGGAAAATATCAATTCTCGGTTTAATCGCAGCCAATTAATGCGGATTTCAGAGCGAAGCCAACGGAGGTTTCCGCGGCACCAGCGCCAAGATCGTCAGCGCCGAACGCGGGGCGGAAAAAAGACATCTCGTCGCTCTTCAGCGCGAAGAGGCCAGCGAGAAAAGTCGAGTACGCCGCCGTCCGAGGAGGCAGGGCGACGAGGGACCAGCAGCTAAAGTGAGTCCTCAAGTCCATGATTTCTCGCGGTCTCGCATGCGCGTCCGTCGATTGTAAAAAACACCCGGGTAAGAAAGAGAGGGAGAACGAGAAGAAAAAGGCGCCGAGATGCGCTCGTTCATCGCTAGTTCGCGCGAACGGAGTTCGACGACCCGGCCTCGGCGGCTCCTTTCCCCACGATTTCTCGATGCCACGCGCCTCTACGATGCGTCTCTACGAGAAATGGTATTAAGGATGTATCTTCGGGTATTATCTCCGGGTATCTCGGATTCTGCTCGGTTCATCACGAAGAAGACGTGATCGCCGAGATCGCCGCGACGTGTGTCCGACCGCGGCCTCGAGATCGCGTCGGACGTTTTGCGTAAAACGGGCGTGAACTCTCGTCGGACCGACGAATTTTTCCGCGATCGTGAATTTTCTCGTTTTATCTCGTCCCAAAGATATTTTCTATATTCTCTTACATTTTTCTCATTTTTCTTGAACGACATGAACGACACGTCACATTTTTAATGTCCACTTGGACATGCATTCAGACATTGCCTTATGCCTTGTGCGTTCTCCGGCTGACCTCGATACATAAATCCGGTGTGCAGTACCAGAGTTATTTCCGTGTCTGTCATTTTTTTATACCGAGGTGAACGCTACACTTGTCGGTCAATTGAGAATTTTCTGCACGCGCGAGTTTGATATTTTTCTCTGTCTTAATTCCAATACGTTCACGCTTGTCGGCCTCGTCCACGTATTATCGCGCAGAATAGAAGTGCAATAGAACGGATAATTAAAGGCGCCTAATTGACGTCGTATTTTTGACGAGAAAATGACAGATTTACCTTTCGCCGAAAATATACTCAGCCGGTTACGTGACGATCAATCGATTTCTCATTATTGATTTATAACGGGAGTTCAGCGAACTCCCGGGACATTACCTTAGAAATAAATAAATTGTCAGATTTGCTGAAACGAGTTTTTAACGATAATCGGCAGTATTGTATGGCGTAATAATGCACTGACTCGGCACGTTTATTTAATCTTGTGACAGCTGCGAAAATTTATAGCGAGATCTCTATAATTCAAGAACTTAAAAAGAACAGCGATTTATTTCCGGGCCGCTCATTCCTGTAAAGGACGTAGCTTCTCGCTTATGAAAGGACATGCACTTAATAAAAAACATACTTGACGTTATCGCCTCTTAAATCAAGGAAACTGCGTTAATCGTCTTCGAATGGACAGCTAGAAGTTGTTCATAGAAAAGTTGTCGAAAAGAACTTCTCAACATATCTTTCCTAGAATTTGCCTAATTCTACGAAGTTTCAGAGAGAAACGAGCTTTCTGGAGAAAGTTAACATAAATAAAACCGACTTAAAATTTAGTAAGGAATTAAAAAAAATAATTTTTGACACGCTATCGTGTTAGCAATGCGTTTCAGGATTTTCTCGATGTGATACGAGGAACATTCGCGCCGCTCGCATTCGCTCCTACTTTCTCTCATTTCCCGCTCCTCGTGGCAGCTGGATTTCGCGAATCTTTCGAAATATCGCTCGTCGATAAAAGGAGGCGAATTGCCATGCCGTGCCGCACGATTTAAACCAGTTTAAACTTCGAGGCTACAATAATCTCCGGATGATTTGCGCTATCGAAGCAGCGTCGCGTTTGACACCAATACTTTCTGCCTGCAACGAACTTCTTATTTTATGAACTATTTCAGTAAAAAAATTTGTAGCTCTTTTTTAAAGAAAACTTCGTGAAAAAAAAATATCATAATGAAGATAGAGGCAAAAATCAGTGGCGGCAAATGGATTAGAATGTTCCTTCCAAGTTTTCTGAGAAAGAAAGTAGCATCTGGAAATGGTATGCAGGGTTTACGGATTGCAACAAAAAACAGACTGTCTGTCTGTTTGCCTATTCTTCGAAGTGAACTTGAGTTGAATGCGAAGTATCATCGGTAGGACGACGAGCCCTTGAAAAATTACTTATGAGCTGGAGAACCGCGCGCCAGATGAAACTCAGTTATATGCTGACAAGCGTTACAGAATGAAGCCGGTTTACAATAAAGCCGCAAAATTTGTATTTTGCTTCATGACGGGTATCTTGAATATTTGTGTTACACGGAGCATCTTTTTTTCAATTCGGAATTGAAGATTGTATATAGAGAAAGATGTATATATCGCGTGTATTTCTTCAGCTTGTAGAGTTTCTTCGTTTACTTCATGTAACTTTGCATTACAAATTTGATATTTTTCTGAAAATCGTTGCTAGATTTCTCGTATTTGCGAAAATTTTTTTGCGAAAATCACCCGATCACTAGATCTAGTTATTTCTGATAGCTGAGCAGTGACCATAATTTCAAGACTTATTTTACACTTTTACGTGATTTATTGGACAGATATCTTACTTTCTCATATTTTTTAAGAAATGACATGAAAGTTTTAAGAATATGAAAATATCATGTTTTTAAGGAAAAAAATAAAGCTATATGACGCAAGAAACTTTTTACATGTCACTTCTCGCCTCTGACGTCACACAACTCATGTCGCGCCGCGAGAGAACTGAGCCTTAAATTTTCCACACAAGAATATATATTGATGGCCCAACAAAATTATTTCTCGGATCTGGTACATCAGATTTTTTTCGACAATTCAGCAAAACCGTTCCTTCCGTGTACGCGTGGGTCTCGGGCCCATCGCTACCGACGACCCACCACTCTGGCAATGAGAGCGGCACTCCGACCCACATACCCAGTGAATCAAAAGTCAATGGGCGGCGCGACGCGCGCCGGTGCGTCCGTTGCAATTTGCGCCGGTCTCGCGTAAAACCGCGAGAGAAGACGCGTGCGCGTATCGCGAATATGAACTTGCGGAGAGTCGCGAGTAACTGGATTTTTCTCGCGAAAGCGGTCCTGAGAGCGCGCTGCACCAGAAAGAAACTCACTTTTCAACGTAACGCGTTGCGATCATCATTCCCGAGAGACGCAACGTCCGGATTATTATAATAATTTAGATACCATACGTTTTCTCGATCGAAAGCATATTCTAGAATTAATTTCGCCGTTGAGAGATGATTCTTAATTTAATTTTGAAAATATTTAAATTCATGTATGAGTGATCAAAAATATTAATTAGTTATTCTTAATTATTAATTAATTGTCTTAGTAATTATGTTACAGATATTGACTGCAAATATCACAGAAAACAGTTATATACATTAAATATTTAAATAAATTTTTACTTTTTTTCCAATATTAAGATTCCAATTGTATTAATTTCATTTTTAATACAATTCCATTGTATTGAAAAATTTCATGAATCATGCGGTACAATAATACGATAATATTTTAACGTTTATTTTAACAAAAAGATTTCAAATATTAATTGGAGAAATAAAAAATTTAAAAGTCGTATAATAATTAATATAAAATAAGAAATTAATATATACAATAAGAAATTGCGGGACAGAAATTATAGCGTAATTTTATGTAAAAACTTTACTATTTCAAGTTCATTGACATTCTGCGATTTGAATCGGCATTTGCATTCAATTTAACGACGCGGTGAGAGCAACCGTGCTTGGCACATCGTGTATCGAGCGTTTAAACGCTGTCTCTCGATTTCGTCCGCAAGGCGGAGAGGATGCTTCAACAGAGCGGCCACTGTGCGGCCGAGCGATTAAGCGGTCGCCTCCGCCGCGGAAGAAACGAGCGGCTCTAAGCGAAAGGGTCTCCGAAGAAGGGCAGAAGCCCAATTGACTTCTCTCGCGTCCGAGAGAGAAAGGAACAATGACACGAGTACGCGAGTGACGTCATTCGCTCTCCAAAGAAGTGCCGTGCACCCGGACCTTGTCGCTACGTTTTTCCATTTGCGCGTTTCTTCCATCATAGGTCGGTCCATCATTCGAACTCCGAGGAGTATAGGAAGATAATTGTGAATCGCACAGATAGAATTTCTCCGACAAAAATCAGAGCGAAAAATTAAAATGGGGGACACAATGTACGAGCAGCTCGAGGAATCGCACACATTCACTGGCACGAGTCTTCCCGATGTTCATGTGTGATGTACGAGTTCATGTGTTCACAATATTTGTTTGCACAAATGGCTACGCCGATGAATATTTGCACAGCAATAAATATGACGCTGTTTCTTTCTCTCTGTATCTTTCTCACTCTCGCTCTGTATCCATGTTTCTGATCTCTCCCATTTCCCGCAAAGATTTCGATTTCTTTATTCTCAGACAGTTTTTCTTTCCTTCAAATATGTTCCTTTTTATTTTACCGTAATTCGTTTTTTGCGGCACATAGTCACTTTCTCTCTCAAAATTATGACAATGCATAATTTTGATGCGCGACGATGAAAATTTTTATCTCTCTTCGATCAAAAACACCTTTATAGACAGAGTGACGTCACCGGTCGACACTTTTCTCGAACGGTCGACTTGTATCCTACACCTTGCGATAAGGATATCTACTTGTGTCTCGTTCGAACGAGATAAAAAGACACATAAGCGAGCCTGAGACCATTCGAACAAAACAAATTTCTTTTTCAAACGTTCGTTTGCATTAAGCATCTTTGATAACACTTGAAAACATAATAGAATTATATTTCATTTCAAAATTTATTATTTATCAACGCAACTCGATACCGTAATAATCACAATGACGATACATTTTTAAGTAAAAGTTTACCGGAGTGATAAGTCAATTATTGAAATAAGCAACAACACACAGAGATAGCAACTACCGCAAAACGATGTGATATAACAGAACGTTTTCTTTTTTACGATCGTAATACTTAAATACGTTTTTATCTTCTTTACAGCAAAGGTAGAATAAATTTTCAATTTCAAATGTAAGATTATTATTTATAATTTTCAACGCAAAATTTTCTTGATGCTGAAGAATTAAGAGTATATTTTAAGTCGAATTATTAGCCGAGATTTAGAAACCAAATCTACAAAAAAAATTAGTTTTAAATCAAGACAAATATTCTCACATAAGCAAGAGTATTACAATCTTTTTATAACAATTTTAGTCTTGATTTGATTAAATTAGCATTGCTGCAAGAGATATAGACATTTTCATGCTGGCAAGAATATTATAATCTTCGTATAAAAAATTTTTTAATCTTGAATTAAGCAAAAATAATACTCGTAATACAAATTTAATCAAATTAGATTAAAATTTTTTAAGAAGATTGTAACATTCTTGAATATCAGACTATTTGTCTCGATTTAAGACTATTAATTTTTTTTTTTTTTTTTTTATATACAACACGCGCTTAGCGACGTCGCAATTTCGTGACGTTAACGTGTTTGTTCTCAGATGAGGCCACGTAATTCATTAGAGATGCGACAAACACTTTTATCTCAATTGTACATCGCGATTGCGATGTATAATTTGCATAAGGCATCGAATTCGACGACAACTCGAGCGCGCTCGGCAAGAAATTTAAATCGTACCGCAGCCTTGTGTCTTAGACTTTGGTATGCGCTCTAATAACTGCTTACACATCACCGCGATATAATGTCGAAATATTAATGAATGACTGAATGAATAACGATTAATAAACAGATCCAGTAAATTTCGGGACGTAAAGATATTTTTTTTTTTTTGAAGGTCTGAATTGACGTTCACACTTCTGATTATAAATTCCGATTGATACATCGTAGAAAGCGTAAAGTAAAATTGTTTGATAAATTTATTCCAAATAATTCCTTCTAATAAAGCTTAGCTATACGCTATTTTAAATTTTAATAGATTAATTAAATGGATTTATTTGTATATTTGTATATATATGTCACGATAGATTTATTTTGTCAAAGGACGCCAGACAAGATATGAAGGTGTAATATATATACGATTAAAGAAGTAAAATTTCGTTATTTGAATTATTTAAAATTCTTAAAATTCTTGTCTTAGAGTCAAATAATACACGTACGAACACACGAGTAGTTTCCGAGCTATATTCGTCTTGACAGAGATAATTAAGTGGAAATTTATATTCTGCTTTTAATGACCGAGTATAATACGCCTCATTCTAACGGGCGAAAACTTCTATCGGTATTCATCGTAACGGAATCTTATCGAACGGTCCACAGTCGCGGATGCCACGCGAGGGCACAGTGCCGTCTCTGTATTCCGTGTTATCTCGCCGATCATGGAGCTTCACGTTCGACTCGATCACTTCGTCTTCTGGACTGGTTGCCATTGCGAAAATTTATCGCCTCACCACGAGATGTGTATGAAAATCGACACCGCGCCGATTCATACAATGAGCATTCGCGAGCTCGTTTATTTATCGTACCGAGATCGTCGAGATCGAATCGTTGAACAATATAAAGTTGTAACACGAGAGTTCCCATATCGCTTTTGGAAACAAAATAATTCGTGAAAGTGTGGGAGAAACTTGGAGGTGGGGAGGAGGAGGGGGCGGAATATTTGAAATATTAATAAAATTCAACATAATAATTTTAATTTCAGTTCATTGTATTCGTATCTGAGAATCATTCCATTCGTTATGACATAACCATATATTTTTCTGAGCACACAAGCGCTCAAGCACTCTCTTCCTCCTCTTCGTGACGACGATTCTCCGCGTCGATTTCTATTCCCATTTTTTCTCTCGTTCCCAACGCGAGGATATTCCTGCGAAGGAGAGCGAAATCCAAGATCTCACCTCACGACGACGGGGGCGATTATGCGAGAAATTCTGGTGTGCGCTTCGCGCATTTTTACCCGTGGCTGTTACAGCGACTGCTCACATATCCGCTGACGAGAGAGAGCTCGAGGGACCGTCGTCGTCGTCGTCGTCGTCGAGGAGTGTCGTATTTCCGTCGGCCGGAAAAACGTATACCGGTTTGCCCCGGGCGGAGGTTCGGCACACGTGCAAATGCAACCGCGCCGCGGGCCCCCGGCTACGTGCCCCTGCGGGATGTGGGGCCCCGCATCGCCGCATGCAGAAGAAACTATTTTACCGGGAATCACGGTGCAACGTCGTCTTCCTTTCAATTCCTTTCAATTCCTTTCCTCCGCGTCGAGTCCTCGATGTGCCTTCGACGTATCTTTGTTCAAAACTTCTTTAAAATAAATATGTAAATAAAAATAAATAATGAAAATATAAACATAAATAAATATAAATAAATGTAAGATAAACAATAATAATATAAGCATAAATAAATAAATGAAATAAATAAAAATATGTAAATAAAAAAAGAGCCGTAGAGCCTCGAGCGGGTGTTTGGTTTTGGCTTCGCTTATGATTCTTCCGCATAATATATTCCTGGATTGATGAATTTCATGATAATTTGATGTTCCACATATATTTCTCATAATCGTGTTAGGCACGACGTATCGCAGACGGAATTGTAATATAAACACTTAAATCCACGTTTCCGTCGCGTGTCCGAGGTCCAACTCTGGTTTAGCATTCTAATTTCTAATCTACGGATTATATCCTGATGAATTTCGGGCAGTTGTCTGCCTTCTTGTAGAATACCGCTTAACAGCCACGTCGTAAACGTCGTCATAAACACTCTTACGACTGACACATCGATAGTAACTAAACACGATAGCAATATCTGCTTGTCATTCGACCGTCTAGCGAACAGTTAGGTTTGACGTTTCGAGCATGCCATTCCATCCTGCTCTTCGGCGAGCTCCCTTCAGCGATAAAAATTTCTTTGTTCCTCTCGTCTAGGTACAGTTACGAGTACTCGAGTAAACCGACGCGCAACCGCATTGTCTACGTGCATACCGATACAAGTGTCTGAGGTGCACGATGTAAATTTACTTGATTTTTGCGTAGCTTCGAGAGGCAAATACGAGAACGATATCGGGACGATCGACGCATCTAGGCACGATCGGCGAACGATGAAGGAACGTGCCTATAGAACGAGAGGATTTATCCGTACCTCCGGATCCCGCGTTGCAAAGGCAAGGAGACCTTTTGGCCACCGGGTACATACCATATGTCGACCGTATGAGAAAACTGGTCGACCGGTGAGACGTCTGCGGATTCCGTGTGGCCTCCTTAAGCAGCTCCTCCGCTTCTCTCTTCCCTCCCCTCCCCTCCCCTC